GATTGCTGTTTGCAAACTTCCCAGCTGCCTCCCAACAAAAGTCAATGGGGAAGTTGGATTTGTGATTCAGTTAAAAACTATACTGATTTGCTTAACAATCATGGCAAAAAATAGTCATAAAATCAGGTGTGACTCACTTAACATCTGCTTTGTTTAGCAACAGAAAATCTGGTCCCGATTGTGGTTGTAAATTGAGGACTGCCTGTAATCCCAGAAGCAGAGATGAGATGTGAGCCCTAATTAGCTTCACTTTTTCAAGGAAGAAGAAAATACGGGAAAGAGAAAACAAAATTATTTGCTTTCCAGCAGGTTTTGAGCAATGCCAGTGCCAGGTATCCTTCTTGAGAATATCTATTTTGGATGATGCCAAAAGACCCTCTAGGAGCAAAAGAAACGGCAGCTTTTTTCTTCTTGGAATAAAGCTATATAATTGAAGTGAATTAAATATGGCTAGGATTGGCACCGAGGTTGTTTTTTTCTTCTTCTCACCATTGACTCACCTGATTGACTTGAAAGTAGCAAATACATTGTCTTCACCTCTAATGATCCCATGGATTTAATTTCTTAATTTTTCTTACCCATTTCTCCAATGATTTCAGCAAGATCCTGAGATGATTCCAGCTTAAATTTTGGCAGGGTTACTATTGTTGGCTTCAAAGGCAAGGCCTTCAGCCTGTTCAGAGCTGACATGACGACTGTTGCAGTGAGTCGTTCCTCTATCTCAGAGAGGCTTGTCAACTGGGAGCGAGGGATGAGGATCACCAAACTCAAATTGTGATGCAACTGAAACCGGGCAACCTGACAAAGCAAATATCCATCAGCCTCTAGTCTGTCTCCCATATTCTCACTCTCTTTGACTTAGCAAAACATTCATTTCCCTTTCTTTTTACTGTAATAAGTCTTAAATTGTACTTGCTCTTCTCCATGTTCTCTAACTGTGCCATTTGGGGAATGACAAGGGGTTTTGTGGGCTCAAAGACTCGAATAAACCCTAAGAAATTCCACAAAAGGCTTCTTTGCAGAGAACCTCATTGCATAAGAGTTTAAATATATTGCCCAGTTCAGCAGCAGGAGTCTTGTATTGAGTAAGCAGGCACCACTTTGTTAACCTGGTGAGGAAACAGTAGAAGGCTATTTCTTATGACTATGGAGACATCTTTCCCCTATCTGGTGGTCTCCTGATGTGCTGAATTATGCAAATAGCATGACTAGAAATTAGGGGATTAACGTCCATCATATCTGGAAAGCATTAAATTGAGAAAATTGTTCAGGGATTAGAATACATACCCAATCTAATGCCAAGCCAATTTTACATTCCTGCCTTTTCCTGAAGAAACCATAAAACCATACTTTTGCTATGACACTGAAGTTATTTTTATGTTCTTCATACAGAAAGAGCAATATAGGAAACCCAGTCCAAATGCCTACTTTGTGGACCTCAGAACTGTAGAATTCACCCAGTCAAAAGTTAGACACAAACCACTAAGAAATGGAGGCACTGATTTTAATACTATTTGACAGAATATTAAAGAGTATGCCATCTTTCTTTTAGATTTAATGGGACAACCTTCTCTATGGAAATATAAGTCTCACCCACTTTCATGACCTAAGTATCATTGTCCATCTGACTGCTAAAAAAATGACAGTACAGTAATGTCTTAAAAGTATCACTCCTGGGAACCTAAAAATTATCTGCTTCAATACAGAATTACAATTTCTAAAGGTCTTTGGACATTAGCTATAATCACTAAGTAAGATGATATTAGGAAGGTACAAGAATTGGACCCAGAATTTGAAACTGCAGTTGTGATTGTTGCCCCAAGGCAGTTTATAGGATTCGTGGCTGGGTTGCATTTAATATCTTTGGAAGGCTGAAGTGGCAGATAATGGTGTGAAGTAGATTGGGCCATGCTTTTCTTAGTGGTTCTTGAGGTTTCATGAGTTTATTTATGTTTTAAGCTATGTTTCACTATAGATTTATTATTCCACTCATTACCAGTTTTCTGCAGCCACGATCAGAGTGATTCCAAAGATGACAAATAAAGGTTCAAGGATTACATGGCTTTAGATTGCCCATCTCTTTCCCAGCAAAATGAACTGAGTCTGGCTAATGCAGAGGAGTGAGAAGATGTGATTATCTAGTTGTCTGTCTGTCTGTCTGTCTGTCTGTCTGTCTGTCTGTCTGTCTGTCTGTCTGTCTGTCTGTCTGTCTGTCTGTCTGTCTGTCTGTCTGTCTGTCCATCACTCCCTCCATCCATCTGAATGGCATGGTCAATAGACTTGTTTGAGACCTCTGAATTAATTCTGGCCTTTAAAATACTAAAAAAGAAAGAGTGCCTGCTTGTACATTAAAAATAGACGGTACAGCCTTTGTCCAGTCCAATAATGGTTTTTAACTCAAAAGAGCAAAAATGCTGGGCATGAAAGTGGAATAGCATGTATCTCTAGAGAACAATAATTCTCATGGTATAGGTAGAGTATTTGCATTTAAATTTACTGCTTTTGTTGTTATCCCTATGCCTGCTACCTATATCTATCTATCTATCTATCTATCTATCTATCTATCTATCTATCTATCTATCTATCTATCTATCTATCTATCTATCTATCTATCTATCTATCATCTCTACAAAAAGATTTAAAAATCATATATATGTATATATAATGGCAACTGCGAACCACATAAAACATCAGCAGATGACACATCCATTTCCCAGAACCAATTAGCTTCCCAGTTCCCTGATGGGAAAACAGCCACCTTTTGAAAGCTTTACAAAATGTCAGCAGGTTGGGACCAGCTGGGTGTTCCAGAGCGCAGATGCTGTAATAGAAAAGCCTTACCTCCTAGGTCCTTGTTACAACTTCTCTATCAAGGAATTCATGGAATATGAATACTTTGTAGAAAGTACGGGTTAGATAAAAGGGACTTGAAAGAGGCTGTCCCAGTCATATGCACATTACCTTAGCCTGCAAATTGGGATCAAAGTAGGAGGCCACTGGATATTTCTTACTGGTCATCGTGGGTACCTTGATGGAAGGGAGACCAGGACGGTAGAAATCTTCCAAGATTGTATTCTTTTTTTTAAATATAGTTTTCCATTTGGCTGAAAAGTTAAAGAATTTGGATAAGAGGGAAACTCTTAATGTGTACATATACATATACATATACATTTACATATACATATACATATACATATACTTAAAAGAAACAATTGAACACCAGGATAAAATACAAACAAGACTGTTTAATACACTTAGCTTTCGTCGGCTAACATATTGTTTCTAACTGTCTTGCATCAATCCGTGTACAGCCAATTGGGGCGGGTAGACCGGTAACTCGCTCAATGAACAGAGCGCAAAAATGGCCGGCTTTATAAGCAAGCTCCCAGAACGCCGGCATTTTACTCTGACGACGTCGGTAGTTAGCCGACGAAAGCTAAGTGTATTAAACAGTCTTGTTTGTATTTTATCCTGGTGTTCGATTGTTTCTTTTAAGTATGAGTATACCCAGAATTCATATTTTTAGCATAATTAAGCATAACATATACATATACATATACATATATCTCAACTATATAAGAAAATAGGAAGAGCCCTGCTGAATCTCACTAAAAAATAATGCAGTCTACTACATAGGTCACATAAGCTGTCATTCAGTTATGAATGTCGAAATAAATATATAAAATAAATATGCTAGTCTCGCCCAAAGGTTAGCTGCTCCACGATGGAACATTTTTGGAAACGTCTGAGACAATTATTTGCATAATGCTGTAAAGAACTCCTCTTTTTAAAGTAGAAACTGACAGGCTCAGAACATGCACTTTCTTTTTCTGGCTGCTTGTCTCATGGCTGGGTTCATACATGGAGCAGACCCAAGGGATTTTATTTTTTTTACAATGGTTTGTTGAACAAATATTAGTGACCCGACTTACATGTATCTACTGTGTTTGTAGTGGTCTATAACGGGTGGGTTCACATGTCCTGAACCCTAAAACAAAGAAAGCACATCAACTGATGCTTAAATCCAACACTGTGTGGATGAGTTTCAAGGATTAGGTAGATACACTCTGTGTGGTTATCAATCAACGCTGACCTGAAAGCAGGGCAAACAACTTACACTTGTGGGCAAGTCTTCCCTTCAGCTCATAATATTTAAATAGTGAATAAATTTAAATTAAGTTTATATAAACTCATAATATTTAAATGAAGTAAAAAAAGTGTACTAAGTAAATATTTTTTTCCTCAATTGAGCTCAGTTCTTGATGTCTTGTTGGCCATCCATGTTGCTTTTTTAAAAATAAAAATACTGAAGCAACTTGCCATTGCGTTTTTCCAGTTTGTTTTATGCTTTCAAACATTTAAAGGGGGTGTGTATCCACAAATATAGATGCAAACATTTAAATGGAATTGTTGGTTGATACTTTCCTTCACCTGTTAGGGAAAGTAGGCATCCCTTGGTGTTTCACAGTTGGAGGGATGAAGCTTAATCATCTCTTTCCATTTCTGCTTCTACAGAATAATCAACAATTTGAACAGGGTTCCATGATATGTGGAACCACGCCAACAGCAGCTGGGCTGGGCTTATGGGTTTCTGTACTGAGGATTTTCAATTTTCTAATCCACCTAGAGTAACTACGGATGTGTTGGACACCCATATAAATTCATTCAATAAATAAATAACCAGTTGCTAGTGTCACAATTTTGAAGAGGTACAGCATGAATCCATTTTAAGAATGATCTCAGAATAATGAATGACTGCCTTATGAAAGAGTTTGGGAACAATTTGGGGAGCCAAATGATTGCCAGACAAACCTTACTTGGTTTGTCCTTGGATTACTACTGGATACAGATCAGCATGGCAGATATTTGCCCATACTGTCATGAATGTTCAGGCCCAACTTGATGGCCTAGCTAACTAAGTTCCTTGTATCAAACCAGGTTGCCTGATGTATCTTAGAATTTCAATGTGCATAGGAAACTGTCAATGTCACCTCAGTTATACATTGGCCACTGGGATTAGTTCAGTGGTGGGATTTAAATATGTGAACAACCGGTTCTCTGTGTGGGTGCCGCTTCCGGAAGTCCATTCTGGGCCTGAGCAACAAAAAATTAGCTACCGGTTCTGCCGAAGTGGTGCGAACTGGCTGAATCCCACCACTGGACTAGTTATCTAAGGAATGCTGAATGAAAGATGGTAATATTCAAAGACAGTGGCAGCAATATAGAGACAGATTACCAAAAAGCCTTGGAAGAAAGAAAAAGTCATAAGACAGAAGGTATATCCTGAGGAACAAAGGACTAAAGTTACTCCAAAAAGCCTGAAGGGAAACAGTGTGCATCGGGGACAAATCACATTTCAGCATAGAGTCTTGAGGAGATGGTGCAAGAGAATCTGATGTGGCATCTGTGAGGCACAGAAGAAATTGCTAGTGTTCCTTTGAGTAAAGCCTCTGAACTGCCAAGAAGCTGTGTGAACCTTCATGTTTTATGCAAATATAAACTAGGTAGCTATTAGATTATAAAGATACAACTTGGCTTGGCAATATTTTGTAGGAAATTCCTTAAAGAATCCCTTTAAAAAGGTAATTAAATCTGCATGGAAAGTAATATTGTCACAGTCCCCCCCCCCTTCCATGTCTCTCTCCTCTTGTTAGAATTTTTGTAAAAGCAACTCAACAATGGATTGTACAAAGCTTCAAAGGTTTTCTTTGGTTTGACAAAACTTCATGCAAACCATACCTTTGAAAGCTGTTCTGAAAAGCAATCTTCCTCCTCCACTTATAATCTGGAAGCAAGACTGACATTTGCTTCACTTCATATTGCTCTAGATGTCATTCAGCAGTTCAGCTACTGGAAGCACCAGATGAATCTTACACAATACTGGTGAAAAAGGCTCTTCAGATACTGGAATTGCCAGATGAGGCCTTTGGTGTCATGAATCATATTGCCTCTGGGTCATGAGGCTCCACACTGAGCTAACCACAACTGCCTTGCACAAGCTAACCAACACATGCCAATATCCGAACTTTTAATTTCTATATGTGATTTAATAACATAACAACAGCATAACAATATAACAGGGTTATTGTATTTTTAATCCCTTAATGATTGCCACTCTTAATCTCAAATCCAGCAACACATTATGCACAGTACAAAGAATACAATTATTTCTTTTTTTTTTCTTCAGAAAAATGATGATGGCAGTGAGTTCTAGATTGATTGAACCCCTTTCTACAGGAAATCAGAGAGAGTAAGATGCCAAGTGCAGAATCCCTAGAAATATTTTACTTACAGTGGAAGTAGACAGCGTTGAGGAGTACCATTTGGGTATCAGCATCTAGGTCATCCAGGAGTTTCTTGATCTTGTTACCAGTACGTTCACTCACCCATGAGTTGATATCAGTTACTGCCTGATTGGTGTTGTTACTAAGGAGTTTCAGCTTGGTTTGATAGAATGTACTTGTTAGATTACGAAATCCACTTCCCATCTTAAGTGCTGTGTGTCAAAAATATAGATTAAAAAAAATTCAAATAGCAGGCCATCCCAAAGCATGTACAACTTACAATAAGCATAATTACAATTCTTTTTCTCCAAAGATTTTAGAGTGTGCTATTCATTTAAAAGATAAAGATGGATGGTTGCCAACGGTGGCTCATTTACAGAGAATATGTTATACTGTCATTAATTCATTTTCTTAAGGGACCAGAAAAGTGCTTTTAAGTAGATTCTTATATGAGATTTATAATCAATTCCTTTATAAGCTATAGAATTTCCTTTGGAAGTACTCATTTGGAAAGCAGAACTGCTTAATTCATTCTTTGCATCTGTCTTTGTACAAAAGGAAACAATAATCCAACCTACCAAAAGCAGCATTGTAGGAGACAGAATAGAAATGTAACACAAAATAGGCAAGAAAGTGGTAACAGAACACTTATATACTTTAGATGAGCAACTATGAGAGAGATGTAGGTGTCCTAGTAGACCAGGGGTATTCAAACTTGGCCCTTTTATGACTTGTGGACTTCAACTCCCAGAATTTCTCAGTGAGCGTGCCTGGCTGAGGAATTCTGGGAGTTGAAGTCCACAAGTCATAAAAGGGCCAAGTTTGAAGACCCCTGTTGTAGACCATCACTTAAGTATGAGCCAGCAGCGTGCTGCAGCTGCCAAAAAGGCTAACACAGTTCTAAGTTGCATCTACAGAGGGTTAGTTTCAAGATCACGTGAAGTGATAGCACCGCTTCCAATTCTGGTTACCACAATACAAAAAAAAATGTTGAGACCTTAGAAAGAGTGCAGGGAACAACAAAAATGATAAGGGATCTGGAGGCTAAACATATGATGAACGAATGAGGAAACTAGAATATGTCTAGTCTAACAAAGAGAAGGACTAGGGGTGATATGATAGCATTCTTCCAGTACTTGAACAGTTGTCACAGAGAAGAGGGAGTCAACTCCAAAGCAAGTGAGGGCAGGACAAGAAGTAACAGGTGTAAGATCATTAAAGAGAGATTCAAGCTAGAGAAATTTCCTGACAGTAGAGAACAATTAATCAGTGGAATGACTCATCTTTGGAAGTTGTGGGTGCTCTATCACTGGAAATTTTCAAAAAGAGACTGGACAGCCCTTTGTGCAGAATGGTATAGGATCTCCTGCCAGGGACTGGACTAGAAGATCTTCAAGTTTCCTTCCAATCCTATCATTCTATGTTCTATGAATTAATATGCTATTTATTGATTTGCACTATGGGAAATTATCTGAATAATCAACTTTCCATAGCCCAATTCTATAAACAGCAATTAAATAGAATCCTGCTTATGGATCCAGGTAAAAAGTACCACAAAACATATATTTATGGGTGCTCAGAAAAGGGAAATGTCACTAGAAGAAGAAAGGAGAAGCATAATAGTTTAAATTACTGTGCCTTCTCTTTTGTTCTGCTGCCATATTTTATATTTGTATGTTTTAAAAACATGCCAAAGTTATTTTTGGACTGAGTCTATCAAAGGGGCAAAGAAAATATAGTTACAATAATACAATTAAAAGGTTCAAAATTCACAAATGCTTATAACATACTTACACACACATACACAAACAAATCTTTTTGCAGGGTCTTAGGAATATATGAATAATAATAAAAAAGAAACTAATACCAGTAACATTTGTTAGCTAAAAATCCAATTATAATAAGTTAGTTTTTTCAAACCTTAAAAAAAAACTGTAGAAACTGTGGACCCAAAGGGTAACAGGTTAGGGAAGGCTACTGTAGCATTTGCTCGTCAAACTGAAAACAGGCTACAAAAGGCTTATACAATTTTATCTTGAAATTTCCCTTAGGGTAGACTGGTCTAGAGTTTAACCTAGTGATGAGTCCAAACATCTGGCAGAACATATCTTATACTTCTACAGAATTTAATTGTACAAGCTGAAGTAAGTGATTTTGGGATTTGAACGTTAATCTATTGATGGATACATGGAGAGAATCTCAACTGTAATTTCCAGCACAAGCCAGACTTCAGTTGTGTTCCAAGAAGATGTTTCCATTTTGGAACACACTGACCTCTAAAAACCAGGCCTTTAGTTAAAAGAAGACCAACTGTTTACTCACCTGATTGGTAAAAAATCGCATTAGCTGAAGTCAGGGCTTCGGACTTGCCAAGTACTTTCAAGGCTCTATGCACACATGTAAATTCTTTAGGATAGAACAGCAGACTCTCAAGACGATCTTTAGTTTCATCACAGGCTCCTGAATGACAAAAATATGTGTACGGAGGGGTTATTTGTCATTGGGCAAATACAGATTTTTTTTTCCTGCAACCTATTTATTTACTCTTTCAACTCCCAAATTCTTGGATTTTGGACAATTACTTTTCAAGGCTGCCAAGTGTAACTCCTGAGCTTGATTCTGAGACCTAGGCACATGCTACCTCTTCATTGACCTGACCCTTCACTTTAACGGACTTTCACGTTGCAAAGATCACAGCTGAATGTTTACAGTGTGTGGATAAACCAGTACCAGCGTTTCTTTTTGTTAATGAGGTAGACGATACATTTTCTGGCTTTATTAACACAATTTTCAGCAACAGAGAATGTTAAACTCATGTGACATTAATCACTAGCCATTGGATGATTCAGTGTGACAATGCTAAACAGATTTCCCAGCTTGTTTCCAGCATTTGAGATGTGGATTAAGTAAAAGTACAGCAATTGTTTCTTCTCAGATATAGTAACACATTCTAGGGTCCTCAAATATTTTGGACCTTAACATTATCAACTTTTGGCCAATGGCAAAAAAAAGTGTGGGAACTGTAGCCCAAGATACCTGGGTGATAGCTGACTGTTTTGTTTTCTGAGGAGCAAAAAAGTCCTTAGACCAGAGAACAAGTGATTCAGTTTGTAGCATTGGCTCATATTCTGTGGGTAAGGCCTCATAGAAGGAAAGAAGTTAGGCAAAAATGGTGAAACAGATTGGATGAAAGGAAGCTAGAATTTGACTGTTGGAGCAAAACCTTTTAGTGAAAAATGAATTGTCTCCCCAGGGATTTTCAGCAATAGTAATCAGAATAATAGATTATGCTTAGCTGCCTGGCACAATATAGACACAAATATATCTTGAACAAATGCTGCAAAAAATCTGTCCAAAGATTTATTTAGGTTGCCAATGATTCCCAAGTGAATGTGACTCACTTCTAGAAAGACAGGAACTTTATACTTAGTTTAAATGAAGATGCCCCCAGTTTAATACTATAGCTTTCTTACAACAAGAATGAGATGGGAAGATAGAAATGTGTCTACTGTATTAGCAATGCTATTTGAAACAGGGATGTGTATGACAGATAGGAAGGATGTTTCATAACTTAAGGTTTTTTTTTCAGAGAAACATAATATCTAAGAAAGTATGAAAATATATGAATATATTTTATACTAAAATGTAGTATACAAGGGAACCTTTCATGCAAACATCAATCAAGGAGCTGACACCTAGCAGGAGACCCACTCAAACTGCACTGCAGATCCTCCAGGTAAGGAGAAATAAAAATGAGGAGGAGACCCCAATGGCTTATTCTTACCTAATAGGAGATTGGAAAGCGTTGTTATGATGCTAAGGGGTGAGAAAACCATGTTACCATCATTTTTCTGGACTGCTATTTTATAGAACTCAAGTGAAAATCTGGACAGAGCCTCAGCCAGCTTCTGCTCATCTTCTGCAGTGGATTGGTCACAGGTAGGCCACGGTTTCCAGCGCTGTGAGCATGTATCGGGTGGGCAACTGGTATCAGACACCGTGGGAATCGGGGTAGTATTTGCCGTGGTTGACCTTTCTGTTGGAACTTCAGTAGATTCTTCTTTGACATTTGGAAGTTCTGGATCCTGATTTTCAGGGACAGTCTGTTCGATTGTCACAGTATTAGTATCATTTTTTCCATTTTCCGCTATTGGTCCTTGTGCATCCTCACCTAAATTGAACTGTAAAATGTTGATATTAAGTAATAGTGGATTACATTTATACAAATATGAATTTGTGCTTTTGTATATCAGCAAGGGCAAAAATAATTGGCAACTCCAAATATCTAGGGTTTAAATTAAAAATAAGCATATTTGGCACTATATTGCATCTTAATCACAATTAAACGTTTTGACATTTTGCAGTTTAGATGGGTTTGACATAGAATCGGTTTTGGAAAACATTTCATATAAAAGGAACTCTAAAAGATTAAACTTCAATACCTTGTTCCTTAAAACAAAACAAAATAAATTAGAC